CTTATATTCTAATTTTTTATATCAATTAAAAAATTAACTTACTCCTTTCGTATATTACGGATGGGTCACCGATCTTCACGTCGTTTATTCGCTGCTTCTCTATTGCCGCGAATGCGGAATCTGGAAAATGCGCGAAAATCCCACAATTTCATATCCAGTGCCTTCTGCAACATAAATCTACGACGGGCGAGGCTGATTCTGTGGGCGGGTAGACGATCATCGGCGCGATGATACCGATAGCAGTTTCTCGCATCTCAACAAGACGTTTACACGGCTGGCGAGTTTGTGAGGTGAGACGTGCGATCTGAAAAGCAAGCCTGGCATGAAACATCAGATTAAGGGGCGCTAACGCGAGACAAAAGTGAGTTGGGAAATAAAGGCAATGCGTATCTACACACAGATGCGTGTACGTTCGTTATTCGCGCAAATTAAATTAGAATTCATCAAAGTCGGGAACCATTCATTTTCGTTTGTAGAAATTCGCAGAAGTTACATAAAAAAAATACGGAAAAATATGCGGAATGCGCAATCGCGTGTTGAAATATCATAATTATGATAACTATCTTTAGATAAAAGTTTAATATCTTATAATATATTTCACGCGATTTTTCTTTTGATCTTTTAAGATAAAAAGAGCTTGCACATATTTTACAGCATATTTTAGAGCTACACTTGCAAAAAAAATTGATAAAAATTCGCAAATATGTTTGCAATAAATTGACGACTTCAAAGATCGTAATATAAAATTCGATATTACTTATAATTATACTAATTATCGTGGAAATTATTACGGGTACGAAGGAGGATATACCTTTAAATCTTCGATTTTTCCACCCTGTTCCTTATTCCGTCGATTCAATTGAATGGGAAGCCTTCAGTTCTAACAGGATTCTGTTCCTTTCAATAAGATGCAATCTCCTTGGTTCGCTTAGGGTGAGTGCGTATTTAAATCCAAAGAATGGCGTATCGCGATTAACGTCATGCTGATTTATCGCCACATCAGCGCAAAACCATCAACACCTCGTCATAATAGTTCCTCTGAATTATCGGTGTAAGCACATAAGAGAGACTACTCATCTGTAGACATCTGTGTTTACAGGTGTCCCGACAGATTTTACCGTAGCCTCCTCGGGGAGGGAAAAAAAATCGGGATCATTCAACGATTGTGGGTCGTCGTAAAGTTTTTCCATATATGCAATAATGTTTGACACACTGCGTGGAGTGAAAATTTCTCGACACAATTTTCTCCAGCTACGGTTAATAATGAGTGTCGCTGTACGGTTAAACGCGTCGTTTAAGATCTTAATATTAATGCCGCTATACGGCTGATAATCACTCTATTAAGGCAAGATACGGCAGATGCGGAGCGCAATAAATCCGATCCCGATCACGATTTTTTCTATCGTGTGTAATACGATGCTGGAATTAATCTAGAAAGCTTCCTGTTGTCTCTACAACGGAACACGATCCGAATTCCTCCGTTTTTGTTAAGCGTATCCGTCCGCTCCCATTGAATCGCGTTACTCTCGTAATTCCTTTCGCTTAAAATTTTTTTTTCGTGGAAGAGAGAGAAGACGAGATCTCTCTCTCTCTCTCTCTCTCTCTCTCTCTCTCGTGACTATGTCTAAATCGCTATTCTCTATCACTTTTAGAGCGACAAGAATAATGAAATAGTTCGCTCGATAGTGTATATATTAGTGATCATGACAATTGTTGCGTCTCTGTCGTTTCACAAGACTGATACCGGTTGAACTTGCAACAGGTCACACTCGTGTTCCTTAAGTATATTCTCATTATTTCCTCCTATAACAAAACGAAACGAATCCAATCCTGTCTCTCTTGGCGCGCTGCGCTTCATTGCAATTGCACGTCGGGCTTTTTTCGCCCGCGATGGCCGCTCTCGCGTTTCTTATCCGGTTCAGCTGTTCGTATTTACGACGATACACTTCCGGCCGATCGCTCCAATTTTCAAGCTGAACGAGCGAGTTTTGCGTATGTAAATCAGGCGTAATGCGGATTCAAACGACCGCGTCGGAATCTAAACCGTGATCTAAACATCGGTAGACGTTCGCGATGGATGATATCCCGCCTCCTAGATTAGTAAAGCAAATTTCCGCCCGAGCGGCCTCTCTCTCTCTCTCCACCGATTCATGATGCATCTTATCAATACGATATCCTCGATATTTCTCTGGCTTTCTCTCCGCTCGTGATATCTCGCCTCTCTTAATAATTTATAGCGCGGTTCGTCGAGGCGTTCTCTCTGTTTACCGCAATATTACCTTCGCCTTTAATGCGCTTAACACGTTTTGTTTAGAATAACGGGAATACCCTGGGCGATTTACGTTTTATTATTCTCTCCCTCGGCTTGTGTCTGGCACGCGCCGCTGAATCGCCGGTTTAACATCCCTCATTGTAATATTTTCGCGTCTTATTTTAACGCGACGAATGATAAATATATATTTCTTCTTCTATGATTTCTCATAAACTCTTGAATATATATCCGAGACAATTTCACAAGGATGAGAACGCTTGCTCCTTGTTCCTACAATATACTTCTCTTGAGATTCTCGTTATATTTTATATAATAACACAGCACGTATTGTAAATATGTATTTTTAAATTCTCCTGCTAAAATCTTCCTTCTAAACCACGAAATTATAATAATCAAGCCATGTCTTACCGTTTCCATGAAAGACAAGAGGGATCTTCCTTCCTTTCCAGATTAGTCTAACATCTTCTCTTTGTTTTCCCTTCCGATTTATTCCGATAACGTTTCGCGACTCGTTGTAAACGTGTCTCCGACCTCTTGGTATACCTGAAGCAAAGTCACTTTTCATGAGAGCGATATTTCCGATTGCGAATGCACCTGTACTATGTATCTCGCGACATGCATTACAATCCACCACCTACGATATCCCTCGCATATTTACGAGCCAGTCCAAGACAATTTCTCCGGCTCTCTTTCCCATCTTCGTCCACTTATCAAACGTAGAATTACGCTTATTATTTACTTACGACGTTGACCCAATAACGTTTTCTCACGGAGTACTCTTCTCGTGATGGCTCTCGTCGCGGCATCGATATAACGATTTGATACTCCTAGCCGTACATTCCCAGTACGATCGACACTCGATATTCACCACGATGTTCCCGATCTCCTCTCTCGGTACGGTTTACTTCGCCCTTTCTCTCCTTTCTTCCTTACCAGGTTATCCTCCTCCGCAGCGACTCTTATCAGGTTTCCCGCCGCACGTTTAACCTCACGTTTTGACCTCTGGCTCTCGTTTAACGGCGTTCCGTTTCATCGCAATCACAATTCCTTTCACGACACGAAACAGTCTTCTACTTCAATCCTTCCGCAAATGATCTCGTCCATTGTCCTCTTCCTCTCTTCAGCCGCGTCGTTGACATGAGTCGAGTGTCATCAACAGAGTTACTCTTCCGTGTTTCTGCGCCTATTCATGAGTACGTCGTCGCCGCTCCTTTCGCTCTAACCTTTTTTTTTCCTCGCCACTCTACTCTTGTTCTTATAAAATGGTTGTATGTGTCATATGTCAAAACATTGACAAAAGCATGAAAATTTCATAGATTATTTTATTATTTCTTCTGAATATCTATGCAAAACCTGAGTACAATTCTCTTAACGGTTTGAAAATTATTTAAGTTTAAAGTTACTATTGATTCTTATGGAAAATTGCGTATTGTAACACTTATTAATAAATTTGACAAGAAAAAAACATTGCCAATAAAATAAAAATTTTCACATATTTTAAGAAAATAAATATTTGTGTAAAACTTAATTTAGATCCACTTACTCATTTAAAAATTATTTACTAAAAATTAGTAGAAAAATATTATATGTCTCTCTCTCTCTCTCTCTCTCTCTCTCTCTCTCTTTCTCTTTTATTCGCGATCAAAAGTTTTTGTCATAAATTAGGAAAAATATTAATTACTATAAAAGCTATAAAAACTATTGTCTTTTACAAAGACATCAAAAACTATATTATTTTGTGATACTTTAACTTTTTTTATAATCCGGATTTATTTATTTAATTTTTCAAATAGTGTAAACTTAAGAAATATGTCTTTTTTTTAAATTTTGACAGTTTCTTGTTACCATTGTACAGCCAAAACATCCTTAAAAATAAATTCTGTCCCATATGCCTGCACATTTAAATTCTTTTCATCTTCAAAGGATCTTAACTTCGAGCTTTTTATCTCGTAACACATTTGCTCAATTTAGGAGATTGAATTTATAATTATACAACATATCGAACAATTTGTAATCGCGCTCGACTTTAATTATCTACAGTCATCCTTCTCGTCATTTTTGACAGGTGGTGCCCTAGAATGTCACAAATGCACGCATTATTCATCGTGAGAACTCTTTCAGCGTGCACTAGAGAAATCACCGAGCAAAGGTTCCATCTGAAAAAGGGCATTCTCACGCGAAGAAGGCGAGTCGCGCTAACATTCGACATTTTCTAGGACGGCGACCTCGATCTCTGCATACGCCGCGTTCCACTGGAGCGGAAGTGTTGTTCGTCGTTTAATACGGAAGATCCTTTCTGCGAGAGCTTCCGCATCGAGAGAGGGTGAGGGCTCGACAGTGAGAGACGCTAATGTGCAACAGTTGTAGCATGCTAATCGGTCGCTGTAATATGGTAATCCTGCAAGGATGCGAACGATTAATGTCCGTGCCTTCAGGCTCTTTTTGGGAGCATCATGCCTCTCATGACGCTTTTATCGCTCACTCCATGTATAATTTTGTAAGCGGAGACAGAATATCTCTCTTTACGCGTGAGAGACGCGGTCGCCAAAAGTAACAAAGAACCTTGATACGGATTTTAGAGAGAGAGAGAACAAATCCAGATATAACAGTACTTTATCAACTTAAACACGTTTCAGTTAATTACAATAGCATAATTTTAAAATAATTCACTCACGTTTAAATAGCACGAGAGATTATGTTAATTTCGCTACGCAAATTAGCGATTCAATGCATCATTTTAATTATGAAGACTCAGTAAGAAACATGATAATAATACACAATTATATCTCTTCAATCGATATAATCAACTTAATAGTAAGTTATCTGAAAATCATGTTTGTTAGACCGAAAATAAAACCTCCTTCTAACGCAAAGATACATTTCATGCAAAATGATATACAAAATAGATGAAAAAGTAATAAGAATATCGTTCGGACATTTTTTGCATTCGCGAATAATTAAAATTATTTTTTCTTTTTTTCTTTTTATATATCATAACTTTAATTATGCATATATACTTGATATATTCTCTATATTTCTTCGAGATGTAATAGATTCTAAAACACAAAAGGAAAGATGAAAATAATAAGTAATGATATTTAAATTACATTATATAATAAATATATATATCGTTCTATTCGCTACAAAAACTTCATTTACTAAGCAGCTTGTATAATGTTACAAACAATGCATTTCGTAAAATGTTCATCTGATTGTGAGCGTCAAAACGGAAAGATCAGAGAGTAATCATCACCCACACAGAGGTACATATCTAATCGATATCTACTGGATATCGACATATCCATATAATGTCCATATCTACTATGGATAATCAATAGATATCTATTAGATATCAAAAATATCTATATCTCCCGTATAACCAGCTGGGATATCTAGTGGATATCCACATATTATCCACACATCCATGTTAACTAAAAATTTATTAAAAAATATCCAGTAGATATCCATTAGATATCATATAATGTCCACATTCACGTCCACTAAATATCTAACAAAGATATCTAGTAGATATCAACTTATTGTCCACATATCCATGTCCACTAAAAATTTAACAAGGATATTTAGTGGATATCCGATTATTGTCCACATATCCACGTCCACTGAATATCTGACAAGAATATCTAGTAGATATCCACTTATTGTCCACATATCCATGTCCACTAAAAATCTAACAAGGATATTTAGTGGATATCCGATTATTGTCCACATATCCACGTCCACTGAATATCTGACAAGGATATTTAGTGGATATCCGATTATTGTCCACATATCCACGTCCACTGAATATCTGACAAGGATATTTAGTGGATATCCGATTATTGTCCACATATCCACGTCCACTGAATATCTGACAAGGATATTTAGTGGATATCCGATTATTGTCCACATATCCACGTCCACTGAATATCTGACAAGGATATTTAGTGGATATCCGATTATTGTCCACATATCCACGTCCACTGAATATCTGACAAGGATATTTATTAGATATTTACATGTTATCTACATAATATCCATGTCCACCAAATAGCTACGAAAGATATTTATTAGAGATCCACGTGTTATCTACATATTCATTTCTTATTCGTAAAAATGTTTGCCAGAAATATTTAATAAGCATATATCCATTATTAATTAGAAATTAAAATCTAAATAGTTATATTTGAATTTTTTTAATATACTTATAGTTAATATTATTATTAACTTTTCGATATTTTACATTTTGTATTATGTGCATAATACGCATACGTTTATCTTCTTGGTGACTATATTATAATTATGGTTCTTTGTTGGGTGAGTTTACTCACGAGGTGAAAATTAAAAAGTGAGCGCAATTCACTAATAGATTATCTACGATTTCATTCGTCGAAATCTAGTGAACTACTCTCACTTTCGTAATTTTCATCTTGCGAGCAAACTCACCCAAAGAACCGTAGCACTCTTATTTGTATTTAGGCGCGTAACTGCAATATACATGTGTGTACATACCCATACAGAACACAACATCCAATAGATATCTAGTGAATATCTACATATCTATCTGATGTCCATATCTACCATGGATAACTAATAGATATCTAATAGATGAACAAAATATCTATATCTCTCGAATGACTACCGAAGATATCCACTAGATATCCACGTGAAATCCACATATCCATGTCCACCACACAGCTATCAAAGATATTTATTAGAGATTTACGTGTTCATTTACTTACCGCTATGCGGCGCACTATACACTTTCTATATCCGTATTCAAGTTCTTGTCATGAACGTATATAAAGTCTGCACAATGCGGTTAATAACATTGTAATAATTTCTATCAGTTTAACTTCTGATACGATTCCCGTACCGAGGAATTCAGATATTGAACTGATTTTTAGAAAATCGGACAGATAAATAATGTTCGATTTTCACTTATTCGGACAATTTATGTCCGAATAAGCAAAAATCGTTCGTTATTATCTTATTTAAACATATCCATGTCCACCACATAGCTACCGAAGATATCCACTACATATATCCACGTGAAATCCACATATCCATGTACACCACACAGCTATCAAAGATATTTATTAAAGATTTACGTGTTCATTTACTTACCGCTATGCGGCGCACTATACACTTTCTATATCCGTATTCAAGTTCTTGTCATGAACGTATATAAAGTCTGCACAATGCGGTTAATAACATTGTAATTATTTCTATCAGTTTAACTTCTGATACGATTCCCGTACCGAGGAATTCAGATATTGAACTGATTTTTAGAAAATCGGACAGATAAATAATGTTCGATTTTCACTTATTCGGACAATTTATGTCCGAATAAGCAAAAATCGTTCGTTATTATCTTATTTAAATTATTGAAAATATAAAATAGAAATTAACTTCCATACAAATAAAATTTTTAATTTTATATATTAAATTTATATAAAGTTATCTATAATATATATTACATTAATGTGTGTTATTATATATTATTACTGTAATTAGTTTTAATTTTGCCATCAAACAAACGTCAGAAAATGATGTCTCGTGAATGGGACATATTGATATGTCATATGCGGGTCTCATAAGACCTAACTTTTAGAACATTTAATTAATCATTTTGTGATCAAAATTTAACCAACATACAATGGATATCTACATAATATTGTATGGATGCTTAATGGATATCTTCATAAATATCCACTGCATATTGTATGGATATCTAGTGGATATTTTTGTAGATATTCACTGGATATTGTATACATACCTAGTGGATATTTATGTAGATATTCATTGGATATTGTATGGATACCTAGTGGATATTTTTGTAGATATTCACTGGATATTGTATAAATACCTAGTGGATATTTATGTAGATATTCATTGGATATTGTATGGATACCTAGTGGATATTTTTGTAGATATTCACTGGATATTGTATAAATACCTAGTGGATATTTATGTAGATATTCATTGGATATTGTATGGATACCTAGTGGATATTTATGTAGATATCCTATAGATATTTATGAGATCTCGAATGGCGGACATTTGGATATCCGTAGCATATCTAATAGCTGTTTCTGTATATCCTGTGGATATCCCTGGTAGACATTGAAGATATCTAGCAGATATCTAATACATATCATTTTTCTGTGTGGGCAGTGATTGTTGCGCTCTGTACGGTGTGAGGCGATTTTAGTCTTTGAACGATCTCGGAGTAAGATTAGGAGAACGTATATATACGCATACCGACCGCATATAATTAAGGTAACAATTATGATTACGGTACATGCGCGCGTGGTTGCCCCGAGTTTATACGCGTTACGACGCGCCGCGTCGCTTAAAAGCGTAACAACGCGACGTTCTTTTTCCTTGCGAGATATACGACAGATATCTACTACGATAAAATGCGAACGAGTCTCATATAAATAATAAAAAATAGCTCTTCAGGACGCGAGTAGTAAGTTTCCGTATTAATCGCAACGGGATATACGAAAAGGTTTATTCTGCAATACATATAACGATAGTAACATGTAATTTTCGTAATCAATATATATTATATATGATGTGATTATATAAAATAGATTAATTATATTTATAATATTAATTATATTAATATTTCAACAAAAAACATTTTTTTTCGAAAACTGAAGAAAAAGTATGATCATTTCCCGAAATTTTTCGATGCTAAATATTAATTATTCCGTCTCCAAATTTCTCAAAATTGTAATGTAACAGAGTAATTTAAAAGCCGGATCAAACATCTAAAATCAAAAAAAAAAAAATGCGGAAAATAATAATTATTTTTTGATATATTTTTTGTTGAACTGTGTATTAAAAATATTTCAATATTTTTCAGAAAATTATTTCGATTTTTAATACAACAATATCAACATGCATTAAATATATTTATTCACGAATATTCGGTGAGTTTAAAATATGACCATAGTGATAATACTACTAAAATTAGAGCCACAAAATGTAAAATTATACATTGATTTCTTCCGAGTTACAAAACCGTATCAATGATCCTATACTTGTATCATAGATATCATTTTAACTCCGAGATTATAGAGTTCTAAACCGACATTTATGATATTTTATGGTTCTCCATGTAATTTCAGAATGATCCGAGGCCAATGCTAGTCGACGATAAAATACAATATGTATGAAATTATATAGTAGATACAAAGACTGAAATGGAATATAGTAATAAAAGTAAATATAGTTGTGCGCGGAAAAGGTAAGTATTAACAAGTATACGTAAACCTTGCGGTATCTTATAATGCCGAAGCATTAGATGGTCTCTAAATTTCTATTTACTTTTATGCAAATTTTTTGAACAAATTAAAGCATCATTATTTACTATGTGCACGAGATTTAAAAGAGCGGGCACTCTTAATCGGAAAAACACGAGAAAAGAAACTCTGATACATTATATTATCTAATGAGGAAATATACGTAAATATCTAAAATCGTGGGATTTTTAAGAATCTTATTCATTTTTTGTAACACACACTGGTACTTTGCTCTTTCAAAACGTGAAAAAAATCAGTTATAAAAATTCGTACCGTGACTTCGTATCTGTGTGTTACATTAAATTACATCGAAAATTATTTAAAGATCTTTCTAAGATCAATATATTAACTATATTTTAGAATATAACGATTAAACGCTGTAGTAATCGCCGAATATAATCATGTTGAGAATTCATGCATGATAAGGCGATTTAAAATGCGGCTACGAAATTCGTCCGCATTTGCAATCCCACAAAGGGATTAAAGTGTGAAAAAAACATGGTGCTGGATTTCCGGTACCATACCGTTTGCTTAATGGTGTTACGGGTCACAAACTTCCAAATTACCTTTCAAAATGGTAACGGAAGTCTTTCATCTTATCTTGCGCGAGAAATTTGTCATGAATTCATAAAACTATTATTTTCATCGTTCCATTTTTTCGGGATTAAACCATGGCCCGGAACGTCATGAACTCGTAAATTTGATAGAATGATAAATGTACGAAAAAGAAACTATTGTTTTTTTCTACATATATACATTATATATATGTATACATATGCCATATAGAGAAAAAAATTAGAATCCATTTTTCATTATTTAATATGCGTTATTAAAGCATCAATAATTTCTGATAAATTTAAAATGAGAAATTTTTTCCAAAATAAATAAAATAAATGATTCTATAAAAAAAATAAGATTCCTTAGAAATATTATAAAATATATAATATATAATAAAATATAGTACATATACAGGATGTAACAAAAAGGAACAAATAAAACAGCAAATATATATATATAAGGTTATATCGATGAGAATTATTAGTGAAATGAAAAATGAGAATGCGGGAAATATCAAGGTACTAAAGTAAATTGATAAAAAAAGCATAAAAAAATTACTTAATATATTCTGTGCTTTAAGTTTATTTATATTTACACGTAAATATATTATATATATTTTATATTATATATCACTGTCTTTCTTGTCGTTATAACCCTTGACATTTACATCAACTATTATCCTCTATATAATTATCGCTCACGCTAGTACAGATTTAAAAACATCGAAATTCATCATTATTTTCTCTTCTCTGACACAGACGTATATTAACGACCGTGCGCGTGATCACGTCAAATTATCAGCGAAGAAATTGTTTTTACGATTAATTCATTTTGTTCACGAGGTGTGGTGATTTTCTGACATCGGTAACGTGACGGAAACGAACCGAGAGCTTAGCTAATACTGTTTAAAAATCGTCTTTTTGTCGATCGTCTCATGCATATACCTCTTCTACTTTCTCTTTCACACACATCGTCAAATAAAAAGAGCATTAAACATTTTAACGATGTGAATACAACGGAATACACATTTATAATTGTTTATTCTTTCGAAATTTAAATTGATTTCGTACTCTGAGCCTATTGCTGTTACTACTAAATTAATTTAATCTAATAATGGTATAAAACAGTAAAAGCTCCACTTATGAAATGTTGCTTCGTCGATTATGGCTTCTCTATTCGTTTGATTTGCCTCACACATTTTTCAATCATATCGACTCGGATAAACTGATCGAACTCAGCTCACAAACATTTTTAGGAACTCGTAATGTCGTACAACTTACTTTCCATGAACAAAAAGAGACACAAACAAAATGATTAATCAAGAATATAGTCAACTTCATCTCTAAACTTTCTCGTTAGATTCTGCAAAAAAAATATAATCATTGCGTGAAATTTCATTTACAACAAAAGGAGTATAAAAAGGTTTTGTCGATATGACGGTTCTTTCCCGTCGTGGCAAGATCGCAGATTTTAATCGTTAATGTCTTTTATGAATAATCCAATATAAATTAAATGATGAAAATTCATCATTTAAAATACATTTGAATATTATTTACAATAATACAGTTCAATATAAAATGATTTTCTCCTGAAAAATAAGAATCAAGATAATCAACTGCAGCTTTTTTTATGCTGAAGACAAATCCGGAATGCTCTATCACGTTACAATTTTGAAAGACTTTAAATTAAAATTATAACTTCTGAAAATTGGAGTTCCTTTTTTTAACAGAATTTATCATGCTATAGCTACGTATGACATAGTAAAAATGTTTTATTGTCCTTAAAATTAACTATATATATAGAGTTAATTTTAAGGACAATAAAACATTTTTACTATATATATATATATATATATTAATAGAAATCTCAAAATTTTTAAGAATTTTTGAGATCGCAAATATATCAAAAATTTTAACTGGCGCACTTAATATAACGGACGTTCAAAGTTTTTGTTCTTACGTCACATTGAGTTCGCTATTTAAAATTAGTTGATAATTAAATTGTTCGTACTCATTAATGACCTAATTTAACTTTATCAAAATTGACACAATATTTAAAAGTGAAAATCTTACTAATTTTTTCGCAATAAATTTATTTTAAAGCTAGTTCCATGTTAGAACTGTTATTTAATTATTGGCAAATTCGGTTTCGATATTGGTCTAGTCATCCCATATATCTCCAATCGGAAAAAAAATTGGTAAAATTATCCGCTTGATGAAAAAAAGTTCTAAAGAATCGATTCAAAACGAAGAAAAAAAATATCGGAGTTTAGATATCCTATAACCAAATAATCGTAATGCCGCTGCAATAAGTAGGGTACTAATTGTAAGAGAGAGAGATATATATATATATACTCCCCCCCCCCTCCTATAAATAGATAACAGATTTCCCCCTTATTATTTCAAACTATTCTAAAAATGTATACATACTTAATTTTAAGCGAAATAAAACTCTTCCAGAGCAGGTCACATGTAATTGTCATGTGATAAATTATATTAAAATAAAATAGTCCTTTTCTACAGTTTTAACTTCAAATTTTTAAAAATTGTAACGAGATAGAGCATTTTAAAAAACTATAAGAAATATCACTTTTTTTTCTTATGTTTTTTCTTTCTTTTATTGTGTAATTTAAGAATGATGACGCGGCATCGCCACTATTTCATTCGCACTTGATAATGCCATTGACTTGTCGCTTTCGCGCTGATGTTCTTGTGTAAATTCCTCTTAACCCAAACTAAAAGTATCCAATCTTGGTAAAATAGTGTCACTCTTAAAATGTAAAAAATAAAAAAAATATGTTATCTATTTTATTCGCACAAAATATAATATCCATTATCTTTTTGTCAACTTTAAGGTAAAAAATTTCTTAGTATTATGACGCAAATCGCGTCTCTCTTTTCCAACACTCAGTTCGCTTTTATTACAGAATTATACATAATTATTGGAATATTCGAATTATGTATAATATTCGAAATATTCCCTTGCGGTAATTGCAGCACGCCTCTTATACGAGGGTCAGGTCACCTCTTTTCGCGAGATAAATACTCGCTTATAAAAACTTCTTTCAATGCCGCATCATAGGCTTGATAATGATAATTACATGGATTACAAAAATTTACTCAAGCCAAGGAACTCTTCGTCAAACGAAATATAGAATTATAGAAACGTACTTGCCACTAAACGAAACTGATACATCTTTCAAATGCGGCATAGAAGAAAGCATTACTTTGGTCATGCACTTGCTATATGGAAAGAACTTATGGCATCTATAGATTTGTTTGTTAAAGTATTAAAATAATTTTCAATAACAAAAGTTTTCGTACAATAATATCGGAACTCACTTTCGCATCAACAAATCTGTGTACAGATTCAAAAAAAAAAAAAAAGTTTCTTCACACATACACAGGTCATATAAATACAATATTAAAAATGCATCTCGCCAAATGTGTGACATCTCGAAAATCTCACAATCTCGCGACTCATCAAAAATATTTACTATATACAAATTGCCGTTTCTTTAACTGGCATCTATTTCCGTTGTTAGATGTGATAAATTTCGTTTTCAAACTGTAGCTGTCTTGATTTTTTTTACATTCGAATTTAAGATGCAACGGCCTCTCTCCAACTACACGGCAGGTCATCTTGATCGTTCATGATGTACATGTATATCATATTTCTACAACGTATCGTATAAATGGCGCAAAAAGCTCTTATGTAAACGTTCTAAGTGTAGCCTGTGTAGCAATTGTTAACTGTCTACCAATTGTTAACTGTAACAGCAAGTAACACTACAGTTAACAATATCTATCTAGCTTCGAGACGTTTTTATAAAAGCTTTTCTCTTTCTCCATTCATCATAAAATTTTATCTATATATTCAAAATTATCATATTAATAGTGTCTTGGCACATCTTTTCTCTCTTAACATGTAAATATTCTGTTTATATATATGGTATTCATGCGATTACCAAAGGTTCGTCATCTGAAAAGCCTCGAATCACAGGGCTGTCTTCTTCTTCTGTAAAAAAAACGAGACAATCATTAGTTCTTTTTCTCATTTCACATCGTTTTCCTCATTTTTCAAATACAAAATAACACTTACCTAAGCCGTCTGTCGTGCCTGGGAAGGTAGCTTGTCCCCGCCTCGTGTCATAGTGACTATTGGCGAATAGCGTAAAGCTGTTAGATAATCTTCTATGTCGAACGACGAAATACGCTAGCGCTGCACCTAGCACTAAGACGACCAAGCAGATCGGTATAGCGAGAGACAATATGTTCGACGTGTTCATTATCACCGGGAGTTGCGAGCCTGTTGAATAAAATAATGGAAAAGTTTATTATATATATATATTAAAGCAAATCGCAAATCGCTTTTTGCGAAAGAGAATATTAGAGACTTGCCTGAAAATTGCGTGCTCCAAGTTTCACTCAATGGACTTTGATATCCGTCTTCCGTAACCAAACGTGCTGCGAAGGTATAAATCGTACCCGTTTTAGCGTCCTTATAGCGATAAGGCGATGAATCCTTGGTCAAGAAGACGTTGGCCGTCGATTCGTTTATCTTTGTCGATCCCTCGGCTACTAAAATTTCCATGTGCCAACTAACATCCTTCGGCATATCCGGCTCTTGCCAATATATCAGATAATCTTTATTATCGTGCAAGACGGTGACTTGATGGGGCGGCATGATCATCGGTGCCACATAAACAAACGGTTGAGTGGATATGGCATTTTCAACATCAGTCGCTACCGTAATATTATACTTTCCGCCGTATTTGATCGAATGGAAGGTATGTTTCATGATAGTTTCGTTGGTCGGCGGCAATGTCACAACCATCTGTTTGTTGAGGATCGTTTCCGTAACAGAAATCTGTGAAAAAGAAGTCCGAGATCAATAAACGCGCTTTGAGTGAATAAACATCAAATTAGATTAGATGCATGGAAAATTTTTCTCAACAGAAAAGAAAATTTCTCAAAATTTTTCCCTATACACAACTTGATTTTCTCAATATTTTTACGAAAAATTATTTTATTGGCTTACCGTATAGCTGATCGGTTCGTCAATCGTGGGACAACTCGCACTCCATGAGACGATTATACTATCATTTTTATCCGGCGATGGTGTTACTCGCAACCTCTTCGGAGGTGCGCGTTTGTTGAAGTACGTCGGAACCGTGATCGGTTGACATAAAGGTCCCGCTCCATAATCCCCGATAACGCCAACGGCAAAGAAGTATGATTCACACGCTTCCAAATCTTTGATCGTAGCCGTGAGATTAGTGGTTTTTAACTTGTAAGCTAAAAACAAATACAAAGGATATTTCTCAATATAAAGATATAAAAAACAGAACAATTCGATCAATTAGTAACGTTTAATTTACAACTGTACGAAATACGGTAAACAATATAAAAATACCGATTATCTTATTATATTTAAATAATTCTCGTGTCAAGAAAATTGCACAAATGCCGATTTTGTCCTCACCTTTAAAGAAATCGAATATATTGGTGGCATAATGAATAGCATACTGCAACTTTATTTTCTTGGTGCTTTTAGGCGGATCCCAGGTAAGTTTCACGGTCGTTCTCTGAGACTTCACCAATTGCGCGTCAAACTTCGTTATTATTGGCAGCGCGGTGCCGTTCGTCGTAGCCGTCACCATGGCGACCTTACCAACGTATTTCTTCTTCATTGCACCGACTTCGAAAGTGTATTTGACGCCTGGTGCCAATTTTTTCACCTCGAGCTGATTTTCTATGGTCGAAATGGTCTGTAATGTTGGATATGCCGGCGGTGCTTTGGGAGTAATGTGATACCCATCCACGTCTTTCATCTTCTTCCACCTTAGCGTGACGGAGTGATTCGTCGTCGCCACCACGGAAAGATCTTCGATGTCGTCGATGTTGGCCGAGCCATCGAACGTCAATGTGGCAACCTTCGAGGAAATCGACTGGTACTGTCGGTTTTTCGCCACGATCCAAAAAGAGTAATTCTTGCCTGCTTCGAACGCCATATCAATGATCGCGGAGGTTTTTTGTCGTGAGAACTCCATCGGCGGTATAGGTGGTGTAATATAACCTTGATAGCCAATGATGAGACCGTTTGGATGTTGAGGTGGTCGCCAGGAGACTTCTACGCGGGTGCCATTCTTCTGCGTGACTGTCACGTTCCACGGCTCGGATGGCACGCCCTCGCCAGTCATTACGACTAGATACTTAGCTGGTGGGAACACTTTGCTTTGACCCTTCACCTTGACATAGACAGTCAAATTATACTTGGTATAAGCATCGAGATTGTTGAATTGATACTCGGTGTCTTCGATCCACTCGCTGGCGTTGGTCCACTTGGCGCCCGGGGTAGCCCGCGCGATCGAGGGCAGGAACTCGAACGTAACGTTCGATGGTATCGGCATCCACCAGAAGAGGAAGAGACTGCTGTCGTTAATGGAACGTTCGTCCACACCCATTACCAGCACCTGATATACACGAGTGCCGTTCTTCTCGCAGTTACTCTCGTCGAAGCCGTCGAAGCAGTCTTGATGACCGTCGCAGTAGGATGCCAATGGGAAGCAGCGCGTTTCGTCACACGGGAAAAGACCAACGAAGCAAGACGGGGTGGCGGGTGGGCTCGTGTCACGATCTGTGTGACAGCCAAGCTCGTCGCTGCCGTCTGGGCATTCCTCAATACCGTTGCAGATGTGGGATAGAGGTACACATGACCCGTCCTGACGACACATGAACTGATCGTTCTCGCGGCACGATGCATGCGTCTGTTCGCAGTGTTGTTCGTCCTCGCCGGCTGGACAATCGTTGGAACCGTCGCACACCCACGCATTTTCGATGCAATCACCATTGTAACACTGAAACTGGTGTTCGCGACAAATGCGTGACTGCTCAGTCGTGTGAATTGGAGGCGATGTAGGTTCTAATGTGCCTTCTGCCTCGCTGCCGCAGCCAATCTCGTCGGAATTGTCGCCGCAATCGTCCACGCTGTCACATTTCCACCAATATGGTACACACTTCTTGTTTTGGCACAGGAACATCCAATCGTTACAGGAATTCGTTGGCAGGATCATCGGTGGGATAAACGCCGGCGCCACGGTAGTGATGGTACAGTTAAATTCGTCAGAACCATCTATGCAATCCTTATCGCCATCGCACGCCCATGACTTATATATGCACCGATGCCCGGCCTCCTTGGTGTTGTTGCATGTAAATTGCCACGGTTCGCACACCATGTTGTTGCATTCCGCTTCGTCCGCGCCATCCTCACAGTCTGGTTCGCCGTCGCACTTCCAAGAAGTTGGTATGCACGAGTGATCAGATTTGCAGGCGATCTCATCGGATCGACACGTGCTCGGTAAAACATTTCTGGTGCAATTACGTTCGTCCGAACCGTCCCGGCAGTCGTCCTCGCCATCGCAGCGCCATCGATGCGAGATGCAGCGACCGCTGTCGCATTTGAAACGCAACAGATCCGTGCAATTGGCGTATGTGCAATTTTGCTCGTCCTTACCGTCCTTGCAGTCACGATCCATGTCGCATACCCAGTATTTGGGTATACACTTGTTGCCATCGCATTCAAAATTATTAGGGCTGCACGTGGCGCGATTGCAGTTGATTTCATCCGAGTTGTCGCCACAATCGTTATCGCCATCGCACTTCCAGAATTCGGGGATGCACACGCCGTTGTTACAAGCAAACTGATTTGACGAGCAGGTACTGGCGATGCGTGGGCATGTCGAATTGTCGTAAGGTTTGATGCCACCTGGACAGAGACATTTTCCGTCCGTCATTACCATGCCATCCGGACAAAGGCACACATGACTGTTGCCCGGCGCACCCAGACAGATATGCGAACATGTGTGATTGGCACACTCGTTCGTGCCGATTTGCACGCTATGCGCAAAGATCTTCAAGTCCATCAAACCCACGATCTGGAAGCCAATTATTGTGTTGATTCCGACACCGTGGTCCTTGTTAGCGACAAATATCATGGATTGTTTCCAATCATCCCAGTACATGTTATCCTTCAACACAGCGACCGCAAACGGATGCGACACGCGCGCGTCGTTAGCAATGATCTTCTTAAACCTCTTACCATCAAAGTCCGAGGAAGCAATATAATCCAACCGGGCATCCACCCAATAAATACGCTCGGCAATGTGATCGATCGTTATTCCGTTGGGCCATTCGACTGTTGGTTTGACGAACAATCGCTTGACATCTGTGCCGTCCAGATTGGCGCGAGAGACAGAGGCATTGCCCGGCGACCAATCGGTCCAGAATATATATCCATTCATGGGATGGACGGCGATACCTCTCGGTTTCTGTAACACGTTCGGACCTAATATCGTTCTGCGCATTCTGCCCATGGTGGATATATCAGTTCGAACTATTTGTATTCTCATTTTAACACCGTCCACGAAATAGAGAACTTTGGACACCCAATCATAGGCCATTCCTTCGATGGAACTTAAATCGTTCTCGACGAGAACTTCGGGATAGCTGGTGCCATCTTTCAGACATTGTCTGCCAATTGTATCGTTTACAATATCCGCCCAATACAAGCAATTGTTCTTTATATCAAATTCGATGGCAATTACATTCTTCAGATCGTGCACGGGTAGCATCTCTATTCTGTTTTCCACCAGATCAATTCGCGTTATATGCTCTCGCTGGGCGACCAACAGAAATTCTGGTGTTTCGTCCATCGGGCACGGTATCTCGTCAGGCTCGAAGTTTCTCGCGAGACCGCCGGAACATTCATCATCGGACATCTTCACGTAGCCCTTTGTGCGATTGTAAAACTCGCCAGGCTGACACGTGTTCGGTACGGCATAAGGATCGTAATCGGTAATTAATTTGTTGCGGACACAGTGATATGGATTTCCGACGCGCGTAAAGCCATAATCGCATTGATAATCGTTTGCGTCGCATTGACAGACCTCCAATCGCATTGGTCGATCATAATTCACACCCTGATAGCAATTAACACGCGCCGCACGTCTCTGATACGTTTCTTTACGTCCCAATACGCAAGCCATAACTGGTTGATCAGTACTCGACGGAGACCAGAATTTGTAATCGTCTTCCTTACAATCTCTTTCGAATACATTCCGTAGATCGACCTTGATTATGAGCCACTGATGTTGTCCGCTATCCGATCCGAACATAGTGAATACCGTGGTGTTCTCCCCAGGCTCCGTCATAAGACCGTAAACGCGTAACATATTTTCGTTGAATTCATAAGTTTGCCACGTCTCGCCCTCGTTTAACGAATATGAGATATCTCTGGTCTCTCCGCGCGATTTGAAATACTTCACTGCCACTAATAGACCTCCATGATCGCCCATGTTGAAAAAGTAGTAATCCTTCAATACCTGTTTCCACGTGAGACCCGCGTCTCGCGAGACATAGAGCGCAGGGTGACCTTTCAAACTGGATCCAATTACGCCGGTGGCCATGATTATTCCGGGCGCCGATTTCGAGCTCATGATCGTGACAGATCTCGTTACCGGATATAACTGACTGAATCTTTGACTTAAGTGTAATGAACAATCTTTCGGGCAGTGGATGTAGAAACCCTCGTGATTTGCCGTCGGTGCTTTAATACTGTTCCAAGTGCTACCATGATCGAAGGTGATCACTGATTCTAAGTGTTCCGGTCCGATTGAGCTGATACCCCCTGATTTCGGGTTACCTTTGACTCGTGACGCTATGTATATACCTCGAAGACCTTCGACTTTATACAAGTCTGTGAATGTCTCGTCAGCCACGTCGCTATACAAATAAATGCGCGTAAATACAAAACAAGTCGGAAAAATTTGAAAGAAATATTTTAAAAAGTTCCCACGAGAGATTAGAATTTTTTTTTTTCTCGTGTATTATGTATAATATTTTATTCTACTTACTTCAACCAGCTATCCTTCCAAGTGCTGTTGAGGAAAAATGTAAAAACGCTCTCCAAAGATAATGTAAATATAGCCTTCTCATGATCTATGACTTCTGACACATAAAGATTGACCATAGTCTCACTGTGCGACACCGCAATGAAAACTCGATTGTACGATACGTCTACAATATGGTAATCATTGCAATCTAATTCCGTGTTAAATTGCGCCACGACGAACGATTGATTCTTGTAAGATACATGGAGATCCAGATGCTCCGACGTTCTATTCTGTTAAGCAGAATAAAAAACAACGATCAATAAAGACGATTAAATCTTATCAATTTTCATGAAAAAGATTCTACATGCGTATAACATCATAATACTTGCCTTTGAATTTTTTACAGTAAACATGTAATCGCCTTTGATCTGAAAATCCTCAACATTATCGATGACAATACTAAATTCTTTTCGTAAAGAAGGTCTTATTCGCAAGGCCGAAGGATTCCGAGTCTGATACCAGAGCAAATATTGCATATCTAGCTTCAAGACTGTATTTGTTCCAGTAGGCTCTGTGCGTTCGACCAATAGAACACGATAAGGTGACCAGTAAAAGGCCTTCACATAGTGTTGTATTGGTACCCAGACTAATCCACGATCGGTCGATAACCACAACTGAAATCAAAGTATTACAAAGTTCGAAAACAATCTTTCTACGAATTCTTGTAATGATACAATTCAGTACCAATAAAGTTACATGTAAATTCGAAATCTAACTGATATCTCATCCCATACCTTCCGATCGACTTTGTCCAGTGCGACGAGTACTCGTGGATCCAATTCGTAGAATGAGACCTCGCTCGGATGAAATGGCACAGGAATCCTTCGAATAGCTTTGCCATTGTTAAACGTTAGAAAAATTAAATTGTGCAGACTATCCACGAAAACGCACTGCAAAAAAAGTAAGATCTCGGAAATGTTTTTTCAATGACACAAAAGAATCGAGAAATAATAAACTATTATTCACATCTTATAAGAATCGATTTTATAAATAAAACGAGACTCACGTATTGATAGTACTTAGGATGATTGGTGAATTTATCCACGACTGCGTATTCAGCGTTGGGATCGGACGAAATTCTGAACTGTTCAGTCTTATTTTCAAACGTATCACCATAGTCGTAACTGATGTAAACGGCGCTAGGATGGGTCGGGGAGGAGAATCTGCCACCTTGGAAACGCACCACTGGTGTGCTATCCCTTGCTAAACATATTATCACATTGGAACCTTCCCCGACCCAATGTACCATCAATTGCTGATGCGAATCATTTAAAGCATTAACCTGTAATAAGGAGAAACATGATTTTTGGCGTTATGAAATAAGAAATGTTAGAAATCTTATATTGTATATAAATTTATATGATGATAATTTATTAAAATTTTTTATTTTTAAACAATAAGATTTTTATTTTATAGCATTAGTCAGACAAACAGCATGAAAGATAAAGATCAGAGATAAGAAGATAAAAAATACATAATTAAAATTAAAATATATTAATATTAAAATTATAAAATTAAAACAGAAAACTAATGTAACTACATAAAATTGCCATCATAACTTGTTGAAAACAGCATTGCAACGTATTTATGTAAGCGTATATTTATTAATAAAAAGAAAACACATAAAAAAAATACATGAATATAAGATGTATGCGTGTCTGTAAACTGACATCTTTATTGCAGTAATTTTAACTGAAAGTATATGCACAGGAGATGAATCATTAGATATGCATGACTCGCACCAATGCCTCTATCAGATTGTTTTCTCAGCACTCAATATCTCGTTACCTTGGACAATGTCACAAGAAATATAAATCGTCATTCGAAAAGATAGAGGGAATAAATAATTCAAAATATTCCTACGTATAATGCAAATTAAATATGTGTATTTATAGAACACGATTCCTTCCTTAATATATATATTAAACGCGAAAAAAATTTTGGACAATAAAGGAAACAAATTAAAGGTCGCAATTTAATATTTAAAATTATATATAAAAATACAACGAGCGTTGTGTATCTTTATTTATAATTTTAAATTTTAAATATTAAATTGCACCCGATTACCTGCGCTTAGCTCTGACTGCCTGTTTCTTTGTTCTTAGTTTCTTTTGTTTTTAGCTTACGGAGCCTTTATTACCTATATCTGAATAATTAAAGGTCAATCATTTGTTAAAATAGAAGAGAAAGTGAGCTATCTGCTTTTTTATATAATTATGCAAAACAGATTAAAATATAATCATGTGTGATTGAAATAATTCTGTAAAAATTATTATTCCTGAAAAATAATAATTCGCATATAACATAACGAATATAAATTAATTAATATCGGAATATTTTTCTCTATTAAAAAAATTAATGTACTATTTATATTTTACATAATATAGATTGAGAATTGCGATAGAGGAACAAACAAAGAAAACGAAGAAATATAAGATGATAGGATATATTGCAGTCAACTAAATTTATATCTTCTCAGAACTTAGGTAATCCTTATCTCTTCGAAACGACAAGGTGCTGCGTTTCCTTTGTTATCGCAAAAATAAATAGTCAAAGTGCATATGCGCATCAATTCATTATATAGTTAGACGCGTACTAATCTATTAGAGGCAGTATGACTAAGCGAACACGACGTGACGTAAGAAAAATCGAGAGGAGGGAAAATAAATATTGTTGACGAAAAATATTCACGAAAATTCTCTTGGCTACTCCAAGCCAAGAAAGTCGCAAAGAAAGAATTTTGGCACTGCCAAAATAACGATGGTGCGTGATAATCTCGTATAACCATTGTTTTGTTTACAAGGCCAGTGAAGGTCTTGCGACCGCTCTTGAGGAAACTGCGTTCTTCTTTTGTTTTTTTTTTTTTTTTTTGTGGATAGAGGGGAGGTTTTTTTTTTAAAAAGCGGGAAGAGGGAAGATGCAACACACACATACGCAGAGGGCGGTTAGTGACCCCTCGCGTGTGTATCAATATAAACGGTGCGGACCGCGCGACGCTCCGTTTCGCCGAGATTGATTAAATTTACTCCGGAAGAGAGATAATACGGCAATTATGCCCCGGTCGTGACCGCACACAAAGGCCGCGCTGTGCGTGACCCGGCGGTCCCATTGGGAAAAATTCCGCGAGACGATATATAGACGGCAGCGGAGAGCGCTGCGTATATATGTGTGTACGTGGCGCGTCTATTTACGCGAATGTCGAAGGTTTTTTTTTTTCTCCCCCTTTACCGCGACGGGGTGCGGGAAAAGCGTATGGCGATGACGAAACCGTTGCCGGTTTCGAATTGCGACGCAACGAACGCCGATGACGACCTTCACGCATACAGGCACACATGCGTACATATGCGTACCTTGGTCGTGATGTTTGGGTTATTGTTTGGGTGCTCGGGCGACACGTCTCTACGCGTACGCCCGAATGACGTTTCTTGCCCATCTTCATCCGGACGGGGCGAATCCACGCCTGTTCGTCTGTTAATGATCAGCGGTTTCCTATACGGTAAATCGCCGTCCTCCGTAATGTGCAACCGCTTCGCCCTGTCACCGTATCTCACCCCGTAATTGCACTCCGTCAGTAGAACCAAATGGAAAATTAACGCGAGGTAGTAAATGGCCACTATCGTCCGACCAGCCATCTTGTCCAAGACTGACTCTTTTCTTTGAGAAATCGAGGATATTATGCTCGTAAGCTATGAAGATAAAGGTGGATCCGCGTGAACCCGCGCATGCGCACACGGCGAACTTGTAAACGACACTTTCAGTCTGTTCGATTGATGTATCAGGGAGCCTATTACGGTTTTTGAAACGAAGTGAAAATTACAAAAGTGAGGAAATTCACTAGAGCATCTACAATTTCATTTGTCGAAATCTAATAAATCTGTTCACTTTTGTAATTTTCACCCCGTTTCAAGAACCGTAATAGGCCCCCAGGATATCGATGATGTAATTCAAGTGAGGGTGAAAATTACAAAAATGAGCGAATTTACTAGAAAATTTACAATTTCATTGGTTTAAATCTAGTAAATTCGCTTATTTTTGTAATTTTCATCCTCACTTGAATTACAGAATCGATACCCTTGTTCATCCCCCTTTCCTGTTCGATGTTGAACGCGTCTGTCATCTCTAAAGCCCATCCGATTTTTATCGGAGTTATTTTTTGATTGGATATAAATGTATCATTTTTATATTAAAATAAGATTACATTTAATAAAGTCTGGGAATATTATTTTTTAATTTATATAAATATGCGTTTTATATTCTAAAAAATCGTAATAATAAAAATCGTCCAAGCTATATATGATGTTGCGAATAATAACAAAAAATAAGCGAAAAGACGCAGAGAACATTCCGACCTTCCGATAAAAACGGATTGACGTTGGGGGAGCGAATGCTTTTAATGATGGTGCGCAGATGTAATAATAAAAGTATATTAGATAATGACTTTCATTTCCTGACATGGCTAGAACGGTGACGCGTCTATATATGTACGTCTATGTAGATTCCTGCTTGCAAAACATATGTGTATAATCATATCTAAACATCATTTTTATCTTCTAGCTTCGTAAAAAGATTGTTATATAATATTTATTAATTTATTAAGAATAATCGTTACAATTTATTAAAAAATATAAGGCAATCAAAAATTGAAATTCTACATAACTATAATGTCATCGTTTTTAAACCATTTATTATAAAAACAAAATACACGTCAATGTAATTAAAATGTGCAATTCACACACGCTAATCTCTTTCATGCGATAAATAGAGTTGATTGATAATTGTTGGTAGTCATGCGAGAAAGCAAAAACTTCTTATCAAAATTGAAATATCGCTCGTTCTAAAAATATTGTATTCTAAAAATGTGGGAGTAAGAGCTAATTAAGCCTGTTTCTATAAATAATAAAAAAAAAAAAAAAAACAATGTTGAAAAATAATAGACGTATTCCGTTGTAGATTAAAAGATAAGGATTTTCTAATAATGTTTTCCTTCTAAAACGAGTAATTCGATTGCGGAGTATGTTTTATTTGAGAGAATTCATATCTTACCTTGAGCTCATCGAGAAGAGATATAAATCAATTATCAACTGATTGTACAGCTGATTGCACGGAAAGCGAATCGAACAAGCTATTATCGTATTTTTGCGGATGATTGCGGTATCCGACGATTTCCTCACATTTTGTCGCAAAATCTAAAAATCACATTACGCGTATTCTTCGAATCCGCGATGAAATTTGAACGCGAGATAATTATTTTTTTTCGGACGTACTTTTTTTATTTCGTTTTAATTTTGACAGTGGGCGTGTAGTTATTTCGCTGGTTTTTAATTTTCTGTTTTTCGGCAACAAAATGAACGAATCGATATCGTTGCAAACGGAAATTGTACGCGTTGCCACTGTGTGTCTACACCCGCGTGTATTTCCAATATTGATATTTAATTCGCGAACGCAATTTTGTGACAACTGGTTATATATTGTCACGCATGGACGGACATCGCATATCCTGACAAACTAAACTTCGCATAAAATGCTCTTAGACGGAACAATCCGATCGTACAAGTATGCCAACAATAAATACGCGATAAATAAAAAATCAGGAAAATATATAGATCTTGTGAGAAAGACGTTCCTCGTGTATGTTTGTTTTCGTTTCGAAACGATTTCTTTCCATTGGCATCAACTACATTTCATATATATATATATATATCGCATTTATTTTTCAACGAAGCTATAAAAAGGCACATTAAAAAATTACAAGTTGATCTTAATGAAGTTTGAAGATAAAATAATTAATGCATACACATTACATTGCCGTGTCTCGTGCGTGATAAGGAAGTGTGAGTATTGATTCGTTTTCCAAGAGAAGATGGAATTAATAGAGCGAATTATACTCTTAATATAGTGTTAGATATAAAGGAAAATTGTTTTCTCGCTAAAGAGAAATACTGTGCCATATCTGCATTCTAACGTATCGAGAATTGCAATCCGAAAAGTACAACCAAATGTTTAATTTAAGCGATATTTAATGATACACATGCAAGTTCTTTTCGTATTAAAACGTTCCTATAATCAAATGTATATATATTTTCAATTTTCTAAAAAAATTTTATCTAATTTCGCTGGCATAATCATCGATAATACGAATTCAGATTTTCTTATCGAGGATAGAATGTACGCAGGAAGGACGTTTCAAAACGAAAAGAGCCATCATGTTAGTTCGACGTATATTATATATATATCATCTATTATAATAATTTTTATTTCTTAATGTTCTTCTCATCATTCTCTGTGTATTTATATATTTATAGATATATTTATAATATAAAACACATAGCTATGACATACCAAATGTTGTATTGTTTAGCAATGCGACTCTGATATTTAAATGTTTTCGCTAAATGCGCATGCATAAAATTATAAAAGCGAATGAACGATCATTTTGATTAAAATTTATTCTCGCGGACATAATATGCGTACAGCTCCGTATATACAAATCTCTGTGTATATAAGCTTAGCTAAAAACGCCATTACGAACTTAGATATCCCAAATGTTTGACGCAAGTCGGAATTAAAGAGGCTATCGCAAGTTGTAACAGATAGTCGCCGGATCGATCAGTCGAGTCGCATTGATTTGAAAAACAAATGAAATGCCGTTAAATATATTTTTTTCTCCTAAAACCATTATAATTTCCAAGATATAATAATTAGACCAAAAGTTTCGGAGCACGAAAAGAGTTCTAGAACTTTGCAATAGAGGGACTTATACTCTAAAAAAAAACAAGACAAATGCGATAAATATTAAAAAAAATTAACAATTACAAAAGAGTAAATATATGATCCGTGTAATATCACGCCAAATGTCAAGTTGGAATCAAGTGAGATACAGTGATTTGCGACAGTGATATAATAATTTACGGTTATATAATAATTTACCGTAAGCGCTCACTTAATACGAACTGTATCATTTGCGTAAGTCTATAAATTTTTAAATATCCTTCCATTTTTTTTTCTACAGAATTATGATATTTAGGAATATTTAGGGAAAGTTTGGGAAGGGGAAAACTCTCTTGTTAGTTATTATATTTTCTTTATAATTCTTCAATGCGATTTTTCCCTTAGGACGCTGCATATTTAACAATTTATTAAAAGCTAGTTTATATAATATTATGTCCCAAGTTAGTGTGGCTCTTAAAATATATGGCAGTCATTCAAACGCAAACAGACACGTTTGCAGGGAAAGAAAGTCAAATAAAATACTGCAGTGCAATAATATGATAATGAAAGCGATATATCCTAAGCAATCAACACGGCTGGAATCATTTCTCGTTCTCACGTTTATTGTTGTTAGAGATTATATCTCTTCTATAATATGAGAACCTGCGCAAAAATGCAATAAAATGCGTCAAAATATTTAAAATTAAGTCGTCACAAAAATCTGTGCTCATCGTGTAGAATAATTATAAATCGACATAAGCCCCATGATTAATATACATATATGTTTCCTCAAATCTACATTCTTTTAAAAATGAATTAAGCTCTTGTCATCTCTGTTAAATAACTTCTTAAGAAAATTGCTGAATTATAGAAATTATTTTGTATCATAAAGAAGACATAATTTGATACATTAAATGACAAGAAAATGATCATGCATTTCTAATGCGTGATAGTGATAATAAAACACGTAAATACGAATTACGTGTATATTATAGAATAAAATCCCGTGTCAAATCTGATCACGCTAACGTGGGACAATAAATGTCGCTTGTTCTTCAACTAGCAATATTGCAAAGTGTCCAAAATTCATTGAAGAACTAAATTTAATTAGACTTTCAATAGCCTACACTTGTAAATATCAACATATATAACCGTTAAATATCTCCATTCGTCGAACGTAGGCGTTTTGTCAAAGATCCATTCAATTCGTCCTTCAATTCATTTCATAATACCCCATCGTGTGTGATCATGTCTTCTAATTTTATATTAGCGTTGCTTTAACCATGTAGAGCGACGAAACATTTTTCATAAACGCGATGTTGTGCTGAGACGCATTACGAGCGGCTTATACCAAACTTCACTGCTCCAGTTTAGCTGAAAATTAGCAAATGTAAACGGTGATAATTATTTCATCATTAGGACAACCAATAATTGTCACTTCCAATTACTGTTTTTGTTTTACAATTTAATACTCATATGCACAATGGCAAGATTAGATAAGAAAAAAGGCATACATATATATAGGAAATCAGCTAAAATTCTTGTAACTCATAAAAATATTTAAATACGTTTAATACGTTAAATACATTTTATAATTTTCTAGAATTTGATGTGCTGTTAAAATTTAATATTAGCAAAAATTAAATTAAGATAGATAATGATATTAATAATTCTAATAAATATCGTTCAGAATTTAAAAGAAAGTATGTTATACTCGCTCTATTTCAACTACTGCACCTTTTTATTCATTTATATATACTATCATCATTTAAATAGAATAAATATATTACACAAGAAGGGTGCTACTGTATAAAAGTCTCTCTCAACGCATCATAAAAGAGATTGAGTCATTTATATCTAATACATAAAAATATCAACTACTCCGTCTTTAAGGAGCCACATATCATAAAATACATGTCTGAAATAGACGATGCGCGGATGTTCTCAGTTACCTCTACGATAAAAGTTCCTGGGAATATTCTGATAGCAGAAAAAGCATGAAGAATAAATGACGATGTTCAGAAGCGGTGGAAGCTACAATATAAAATTTGTGTGACAATGATACACAATAATCCGAATATCTACATAACACACTATCTTATGCGAAATAATAAAAAAATATCCAAAATGAAAGCGATAGATATGTATGCGAATAATAAGCACTTATTACATAAATGTTAAACGATGTGGTAGAGAACAATCGTGTTTCGCAAATCTGTCATTCACTTGTAAATAAAAACCTTGACCTGTAAAATTTATAGCGATTTTTTACATGATAAAAAAATATCTCGGATTATATTGTTCCCATAATATATTCATCAATCGCTCTTGTTGCGAGATCCGTCAGCTCTATGTATGAAACACAGAAAGCTCTACGCACATCCAGATATTCTCTCGTTTCAAAGAATTCACGTAATCATTCCGCATTCACAATTGGAAGAACATTCCTCTGCCGTATTCTTCAGATAGAAGCTAATCATAACGAAAAACTAAATACGAGAAGAAAAAAAAAAGACAACTGGAATGATGATCGGTTAATCGTGCAATAGTACGATACGGTAGAATGATCTAGGATTATGTGCGACTCACCGCATTTTTAAATGTTGTTCCAATTGTGTACTGTTTCATACGTTCATTGGTTTCGCTTTCTACTTTTTGGCTTTTCTAAAATATGATAAATGCAATATGATCGAATGCGCGACAGGATGAATGGATTTCGTATGAAGGAGTGAGGGCGCGTATCTTCTCGAATTATGCTTTGCTTTACGAGATGATCGTCCGTCACCCGTGAATGATAATGAACATGGAAAAAAAAACAGATATTTTCGAAAGAAGAAAAGTTAGTCTTGTTAAAAAAGAAATATATGGAATGCCAGATGTGTCAGGAATATCGTTAGAGGAATCTAAAGTAATGGAAGATGAGAAAAATGTATAATTTTTTTATTGCTAACAGAATATTCTCTATCAGCTTCATCGGGACGTGTTCAAAAGGATGAAGCAAAATAATAACAAGATAACAGGCACCTTATGTACAAGAATAACATGTCTTGAAATGTTGTAAAACTTAATAACTTATATATTTGTAATATATAAATTTTCGCAATATTATTAAAAGTCAATTGTGGATTTAGAATATTATTATTACGTTGTAGATATATTTTATTTGCCAACTTTGCCGAAATTTACAGAATTTATTTGGCTTTTAGCTTGAAATTCTTACGCCGATCAGTTCGAATATTCATATCGTCTTAAATTCTCGCGTACGATATTATTACGATATGACAACCAAATTTCTCAATCAACACTTACTTTTTCTTGAGAGTGAAGAAACTACGCCGCTTAGTTTCGGCTTGTGTCGGGGCGGGTAGAGTGTGGGCTCTGGACGTACTTGCACCTGATGTTCCTTGCGCCGCTTGATTTAATACGGACACCCAGTCGTTCATCTCGGCGTCATCTTTGGCCTGGAACAGGAAGTCGGATCCGCTTTGCGACCTATAAAAAAAAACAGATAATAATAATATAATAAAATTTGCGCTAGTAAAAGCGTAAAATGCAAATTAAGTATAATCGAAGTGCGTTGGATACTGACTTGACTCGGAAGACATGTTTCTTCTTAGTGTAATCACTCGCTACGGTAATAGTCGCGCCTCGTAAATCAAGGGGAGCTTCTCCTTTGTACGATTGATCAGGTGAAGCTTTGTACGACTTCTGATCTTTATATACACATAAGTTCTGCCCGCGTACAACCATGTACACCTTGTCCCAGGAGCGATTGGATGCCTTCTTCGTCGTACTCTCCCACTCGTGCTTCCGCTGTAATGGTCCTTCGAATTCGTCGTCGCTTGGACTTCGTTGCTCTGCAAAAGATAACATCCATCATTATTTATTATTCGAGTCATCATTATTTATTGTTCGTTGAGAGAAGGATTTTCTAAAAAAATTGGGACCAGTTTATAAATTATTATCTAGAGAGAAAAATGACATCATGTATCCCTTGCTCTTTCGGTGGACAATAAAGCTGCAAATAATTAATGACATGATTAATCATAACATGCTTTTGATGGAATAGACCACCCACAACACACGAAAATCTGTTTTAATTTCTTGTTATATTTCAATTCAAAAAGTTTGTTTATCGTTTAAACTCATTAACAAGCCGACATGCATTGATATATCTTTATAACGGTACTTGAAACAGAAATAATTTGCCCCAATTATTCGTTCCTTTACTTGTTAGACGAATACAATGTAGCTCTTCGAATGTCCTCCCGCTATAAAACATATAATTTTATCACAGCTGACTTCTTTGAACACATTATAGTGATAAAAAAATTGTTAAAAATATATGTATGCTTAAATAGTAACTGAAAATAAATAATGATTAATTAGTAAAGCAATTATATAGATGCTGGATACAAATATATATATGAAAGATCATAATATCTACCTGGATATTCAATTATTGACAGCAGCAATTTAGAATTTCGCGTACAAAATTCGATCAGAAACAAAAATCACATCGAATATCATCAACATTTCCGATTTTCAAATAATGATTTATTATTTATTGTTAGGTGTTGAAGATTGATTATCCGTTTTTCTCACGTCTCGGCTGTCTTAAATTTAAACATGTAAAGAGAGTGAAAATAAAATGAGAAAATTGTGTAAGTAAAAAAAAAAAAAAAAAAAAAAAAAAAAAAAAAAAAAAAAAAAAAAAAAAAAAA